TTCACACCCAGAGAAGCGGGGCGGGGGGGGGGGGGGCTGAATTCTATAGAAACAGTAATAGCTCCATGTCACAAATTCTTGATGACTGATATGTCAAAATTAAAAACAAACATCTAAGTTTTATTGCAGCTTAAACGCCCTCCTAGCCATCTGGGCAAAGGCTGCTGGTACATGGAATCTGCTACTTTATATATTTATTTAAATATATTTTTATTGATTTCTGAGAGAAAGGGAGAGAGAGAAACATCATTGATGAGAAAGAATCATTGAATGGCTGCCTCCTGCATGCCCCCCACTGGGGATCAGCCGCTGCAACCCAGGCATGTGCCTTGACCAGGAATAGAACTGTGACTTCCTGGTTCATAGGTTGATGCTCAACCAGTGTGCCACACGGGCCAGCTCTGCTACTTTATATTGTTTTCCCTGTTTGGATGCCTGACTGGGGTCAGAAGAAAGAGAAGAATCTGATCCATTCAGATTCAACCACTGGCTGCGGCCTCTCAGACACATCTCATTCTCACCAGAGCCCTCTTCAAGGGCATTTTCCCATTTTCCAGCTGAGGACACCGAGGTATCACGCCAGGACGGAGGCTGACACACAGGAGATGCTCAGTAAACCCTGTTTTGGGATTGAAGTGGAGGGAGAAACGTTCAATAAGCAGATCCCTCATCCCCACCGGGGGCTCGGTGGGGCCTCTGAGCTCTCGGTGAGGGTCGGTGGGAAGAGGCGTGGAGTACCCCGCAGGGCAGTCCCACGCGCCAACTCCGGAAACGCGGGGGCCCCCCATCTGCCTCCCCCCCTTGTCACCTCCCCACCACCCCCTCTTCAGAGGAGCCCCCAGTGCGGGGAGGTTCGGCGCCCCCACCAGGCTCCAGGGAAGCACAGGCGCCGCGCACACAGGTCCCGGCAGCGCCACACACACACACACACACACACATACACACACACACACACGCCCTCCCTCCAGTGTTTGCGGGGAGGTCAGTTCGCCGCTCAGCCCGGCACAGCCCGGACCCCGAGGACGCCAGAGGGCCCTGCGCCCCGGGGCTGGGCTGCCGGTGCCTCCGCAGGACCCGCCAGGGCCACCGGCAGCCCTGGGGGCATCCCACCCCGTCCGGCTCGCTCCTCCCCCTGGTCCCGCGCCCCTGGCTCCGGCTCCAGCCGCGGCGAAGCTCACTCGCCTGCAGCCCCGGGAGGGAGCCGCCGAAGCTGCGCTCGCCCAGACTCAGACGGCTGCGGGCGCCCGGGGAGCCTCGGGTTCGGCCGCACCATGAATGACTCGGGGGGCCCTGGGGCCGAGGACGCGGGCCAGGCGGGCGGCGGGGGCAGCTGGCAGCCCGAGGCGGTCATCGTGCCCACGCTCTTCGCGCTCATCTTCCTCGTGGGCACCGTGGGCAACAGCCTGGTGCTGGCCGTGCTGCTCCGCAGCGGCCGGGCGGTCAGCACCACCAACCTGTTCATCCTCAACCTGGGCGTGGCCGACCTGAGCTTCATCGTGTGCTGCGTGCCCTTCCAGGCCACCATCTACACCCTGGACGGCTGGGTGTTCGGCTCCCTGCTCTGCAAGGCCGTGCACTTCCTCATCTTCCTCACCATGCACGCCAGCAGCTTCACGCTGGCCGCCGTCTCGCTGGACAGGTCAGCGCGCCCCTGGCCCCGCAGGGCCGGCCACTGCGCAGGGGCGGGACTCGAGGGTCAAGGAAAGGGACAGAGAGTAGAAAAGGGCTCCACCACTCAGAGGAGCCGGGAGGGAGGGAAAGACAGGCAGGCAGGCGTGCTGGCGAGAGAGGAGTAATTAGGGGAGGTGGGGGGCTGCAGTGTCCCCCTATCAGCTGCGCCCTTGGCGCTGCAGCCTGGAGACCTCAGCTCTCCAGCGCCACCGGCAGCCAGCATAGCGCAGCGTTTGGGGTACAACGCGTTTTTCCCGAGCTTGGTCTTGCTTGAGGCTCAATGACCCGTGAGATTGGGTTGGGCGGGGTGACTGTGCCCACTGCAGAGACGAGGGAGGTCGCGGGGTTCAGAGTCGCCCATCCAGTACTTGTGTGCGGGAAGTCAGCGCTCATGGCGTCAAACTCAGCCTCGAAGCCACGGTTTGCTCGACGCCCTGGACTCTGGCACGGACTTGGGAATTTGGGTCCTTCGTGGGGGCCCATGCCACGCCCGAGGTCCCCTGGCTTGGTCCCACCCCTTCTGCACCCCACCTCCAGGCCCAGGTCAAGGGCAGGGAGAGGAACGCGCAGAACTCGCCCGCCCCCTAAGCCAGAGCGTGGAGGACACCTGGGGAGGAAAGGCGGGTCTGACCACGGTCTCTCCCCGCTCCCCTTGGTCCCCACGCGCTGCCCCTCTCCCCTGGGAAAGGAGCGAGGTGAGCCCGCCGTCCACACGCGCCTCCCAGGTCCACACGCGCCTCCCAGTTCCACACGCGCCTCCCAGTTCCACGCGCGCCTCCCAGTTCCACTGAGCGCGGAGTGTCGGTTCCGGAGCGCTGGTGCGGCCCAAGGCGCGTCCGCTTCCCGAAGGAGATTGCTCACCTGACTTCCCAGGCTGTCTCCTCAGGCGCCTGCCTGCGCCCACCTCTCCGGGCATCGTCCCTGGTGGGTAGCAGCCTCCCGGTGCCCCCCAGCCGGTTCCGACTCCACCCGGGTAGTAGCCCCGGAGAGAGCAGACGAGTGGCCTCTACGTGCGCCTTTCCTGCTGCTGGGTCGCCCTGGGTGGGTGTGCGCTGTGACCGTGCACTGAGGACCGTCCTGGAGAGCGGGTGTAGGGCCCGAGGTGCAAAGGTCCTGGGCTGAAGGCGCAAATCCGCTCGCTCGGCTGACATCTCCCCTCCCCGCTGACCCGCAGGTATCTGGCCATCCGCTACCCGCTGCGCTCCCGCGAACTGCGCACGCCTCGCAACGCGCTGGGGGCCATCGGGCTCATCTGGGGGCTGTCGTTGCTCTTCTCGGGGCCCTACCTGAGTTACTACCGCCAGTCGAGGCTGGCCAACCTGACCGTGTGCCACCCGGCGTGGAGCGCGCCCCGACGCTCTGCACCTTCGTCTTCAGCTACCTGCTGCCCTTGCTGGTGCTCGGCCTGACCTACGCGCGCACGCTGCGCTCCCTGTGGCGCGCGGTCGACCCCGGGGCTGCGGGCTCGGGCGCCCGGCGCGCCAAGCGCAAGGTGACGCGCATGATCGTCGTGGTGGCCGCGCTCTTCGGCCTCTGCTGGCTGCCCCACCACGCGCTCCTCCTCTGCGTGTGGTTCGGCCGCTTTCCCCTCACGCGCGCCACCTACGCGCTGCGCATCCTCTCGCACCTGGTCTCCTACGCCAACTCCTGCGTCAACCCCATCGTCTACGCGCTGGTCTCCAAGCACTTCCGCAAGGGGTTCCGCCAGGTCTGCGCCGGCCTGCTGCGCCGCGCCCCGCGCCGGACCTCGGGCCGCCGGCGCGTGGGGGCGCCGGGTCCCCGCGGGGGCAGCGTGCTGGAGCGCGAGTCCACGGACCTGACGCACGTGAGCGAGGCCGCCGGGCCGTCCGCCCCTGCGCCGGCGCCTCCCGGGGTCCCGGCCTCGTGCCAGGCCCCGGGTCCGTCCTGGCGGGACCAAAAGGTCCCCCACGGCAGCCTGACAGTTAATGAGACTTAGCGGGGACGCTCGTGTGGGAAAGGACTGGAGTCGGAGGTCGGGGGGATGGTGGATGGTTTCGTCTGTTAATAAAATGCGCAAACCGTTTCACGTGCCGTGTCTTGAGGGTCTGCGGTGAGATCTCTGGGACTTCACAGGGGAACTTGGGCTGATGGGGTGCGAGTGCGCGCGCTCAGGACAGCGGAGCTGAAACTCGGCCTAGAAATCCCTGAATGCGCGAGGCTGGGGAGCACGCGCCAGGCGAGGGCTCTTTGCACGCGGCCACCTGGAAGCGCCGGGTGCCAACAGATCGGCAAACCCGCTGCAGCGCCCCCGATGCGTGTGGCACCTAGGCAGGTTCCAGCCGTGGGCCCGTTTGAAATGAATAAAACTAAAAAAAAAAGGCCATACCCTTTTATGTAATGATGTTTACTTTGAATTTATATTAGTTCACACAAACACTCCATCCATGCTTTTGTTCCGGCCCTCCGATCCAGTTTAAGAACCCATTGTGGCCTTCGAGTCAAAAAGTTTGCCCACCCCTGGTTAAGCACTCGATACAGTGGGTCGATGAAGGACGCAGACACTATGTTCCTAGTAGCGTTCGTGCGTCCGCGTGTGGCGGGGCCTCGGCTGCTCCCAGCTCCCTGGGGCCCTTTCAGCAGCCCTATCGGTGCCTACAGACTGTAAGCCTTGGGGTGTCCGCCCCCCTCCCCGAGTGCAGCTCTCTGGGACCAGGTCTCCAACAGTTCGGGTTCTCCTTTGGGACAGGTAAGGCGCGCCCCACCCCGCAGGTCCTGTTCCGGGGCCACACCAGCGGCCCTGAGGCACTGCTGCCTGGCGCATCCTGAGAATCTGATACGAACTTTGCTCTTGAACTAGCCCCCACCCGACCCTGGGTCCCCCCCGCCCCCCCGAGTCCTTGAGCCAAGGCTTTTCACGTGAAGTCAGTCCAGTGTTTCAGGAGAGGCAGGTCCCTCTCCAAGGTGTGCCCATCTCACAGCGTTGAGTGCAGGGCACTTGGACAAGGGCGTGTTTTTAGCCAGGCGGGCCCCCACTGCGGAAAGGCACCTGCCTAGGCTGGAAGGACCGAGGCCGGGTGGGGCTGGGGGCAGCTCTGTGCTGGCCGTGAACTGGCAACCGGTTCCAGGTGGTGGAAGTGGGGCGGGACAGACAGCGAAGCCCAGGCAGGTGCAGGGTGGGCAGGGCTTGGTCCTGGGCTTTGTCTCCGGGTGTTTGCAGAACCCAGGGTGGGGTGGGGGTGCGGAGCCCAAGGCTCCAGGGTCATTGCACAGAGCAGCTGCCTTGACCGACTGCACCGTCCCCCAGAGAAGTGCCTGAAGCAGAGGTTGGCGTGGGCGCTGCTGCTCCACCTCCCCCTGCAGCCCCGTTGATGGCTCTGCGGCTCCTGCTCCAGCTCGCCCTGCTCGGTCTTGGCACCACCAGGCCCTTGGTCCGGGGCCGCAGCTTGCACGCACCAGCGGTTGGTAGGTGAAAGCCGTAAGGTCATGAGCTTTGGAATTTGGGCCCCAATGCACCCAGGTGACCTCGACCTCTATCCCTCAGCCTGGCCATCTTTCTTCAACCTCAACTCACCCCTGGAAGTTCATGAAACCATCCAGATTCCCAGCAACGGGAGCGCGCCCCTGCGCGTGGATGTGCAGGTGTTCGTGACAAACGTGTTCAACGTGGTGAGTGTCCCCCGGCCCAGGAGGGGCGGGACCCCAGTGCTGAGCGGGAAGGGATGGGACCACGTCCCTGGAGTGCTGTGCCCTCCTGCCCCGTTGTGTCATGTAGCAGCCCACCCTCAGGTGACGCGCTGCCCCTCCCCAGGACATCCTTCGGTACACGGTGTCCTCCATGCTGCTGCTCCGGCTGGTGAGAGCCCCCTGGGGGTGTGGCAGAGCCCGCTCTGAGTCCAGCTCAGAAGTACCGTCTCCATCAACCTGCCAAGCCGAGAGGCACGTACACAGAGCCTTAGTGGGGTCCTTGTGTCCCCAGTCCTGGCTGGACACGCGCCTGGCCTGGAACACGAGTGTGCACCCACGGCGCGCGCTTACACTGCCCTGGGACTCACTGTGGACACCGGAACTCACTATCCAAGAGGCGTGAGTTCTCGTCCCAGGAGCCACTGCATGTCCCTCTGTCTCCCCCCCGAGACCTTCAGTGAATGCCCTCTCCCGGTGACCCTGGCAGAGCACTGGCACGCCTTGCCTCCACTGCCCCGTGTTCCCCCTCCCTCTTGGGACCCTGAGGGCAGGGGATGGCAGCTGGGCATATGCCCGTCTCCCCCTGCAGAGGGGGTGGGCCTCTGGCTGTGGTGTCTTTCCCCGCAGGCTCTGGGTGGACTGGCAGGACCAGACCCCACAGGCCCAAGTGGACCAAGATGGCCACGTCGAGCTCGATCTGGCCCTCACCACGGAGACCAACTGTGACTTCGAGCTCCTCCACTTCCCCAGAGACCAGAGCAACTGCACCCTCAGCTTCTACGCCCTCAGCAACACGGGTGCTGACCAGCCGGGCGGGATGGATGGCGGGCTGTGTGCACACCCATCTGCCCGGGGGGCTCAGGGAGCCGGACCCACCCAGGAGCAGAGCGTGCTCCTCGCCCTGCACCTCCCACCCAGACAGCAGCCCGGCCCCACTGCAGGCTCCTCCCCTCCGCCTCGGCCAGCAAAGCAATTGCCCTCAGCAGCCAACAGCCGGGCCAAATGCAGCGGCCAGGCCGCTGGTGCCCGCTCAGGTTGCTGCGGCCTCACCCCTGGAGACATCCTGAAGGTGTAGCCACCCAGGCAATACCCCACACACCCACCGGGTGGTGTCCAGCTTGGCAGAAGGCCCACCCTTCCCTTACACCCTAGTATTTCAGATGTGAGATGAGACACTGGTCGATGAGTCCACAACGGCGCCCCTCCAAGCAGTGCTGCAAAGTGCATTTATTTTTACAATGGAAATCGGTCTGAGTCTGAAAATGCCCTTCCTCTAGGGGGGTGGGGGGAAGGTTGGGAAAGCCGTTGCATGGGCCATTGTCACCACCAAGTCTGCCCAGCAGCCACCAGAAGTCTCCATCACCGCTGGGCACCAGCTTGCCCCTGCCCCTGCCCCCAGGAGATGGGGGGGGGGGCGGTGGTATTTCTCAGCTCACTGCTCTCTCCCACCCTCCCCCAGTGATGGAGCTGGAGTTCCAGGCCCACGTGGTGAACGAGATCGTGAGTGTCAAGAGGGAGTATGTACTTCGGGATTTGAAAACCCAGGTCCCGCCCCAGCAGCTGGTGCCCTGCTTCCAGGTGAAGGTGAGTCGGCAGGTGGCTGACGAGGGCGGCAAGGGCATGAAGGATGCGGAGCCAGAGGCATGACAGCCTTCTGTTGCCCACCCCTGCACGCCCCCCAGGAAGCCCCAACCTTTCCCTTCCAGCTGCACCTACAGAACACAGCGCTGAAGGCCATCCTGGCTCTGCTGGTCCCCGGGGAGGCGCTGCTGTTGGCTGACATGTGCGGGGGGCTGCTGCCCCTGCAGGCCCCGGAGCGTATGGCGTACAAGGTGACCCTGCTGCTGGGCTACCTCGTCTTCCACTCCTCCCTGGTGCAGGTCCTGCCCAGCTCCTCCTCCTGCAACCCACTGCTCAGTAAGCCCTGTGCCCTCCCCTGGCCCCGGGCAGGACCACACTGCCCAGCCTTTCCCTCTGCTCAGCTCCGAGCCCTGGAGGCACAGGCCTGGCCCCTGACTTGGCCCCGCCCCTCCCCAGTTCACTACTTCACCATCCAGCTGCTGCTGCTCTTTGTCAGCACCGTGGAGACAGTGCTGTTGGCAGGGCTCCTGGCCCGGGACCACCTCAGGGCCAAGCGCAGCCCTGGCCCAGCCCCGAGAGGGGAGCAGCAAGCTCATGAGGAGGCAGGGCCGAATCCTGAAGGTGGGTGAGGAAGGAGGCTGGGAGCTGGTTTGATGGCAGAGCTGGCAAGCTGCACCCCTGGGGGTGGGGCGAGGGGTCGCTGGGCTGGAGGGCCCTGGCGCTCACTCTGCTGGCCCGTCCCTGAGCTTTACACGTCGGCCCTGGGAGCAGCAGGTCTGAGCAGGGAGCGAGGTGAGCTTCCCCGAGGCCTGGTGACTGCGCTCCGCGAGGTGACCCTGTGCCTTGGGAGCCTCTCCACAAGGCTTTCACCTCAAGGCGGCCTGCAGTGGGCCAGCCCACGGCCACTAGTTGGGAACCCATGGAAGGGAGAAACCTGCTGCCAGTGCTTGGGCTCCTGCTCCGGGAGAGGGGCGAGCCCTGGAGTGCAGCTCCTGCTCCTGCCTCTCCCCACAGAGGCCCCCGGAGGAGCGGGGTCACGGAGGAGCTGGGCTGAGGCTGCCGACCACACCTTCTTCCTGCTCTATGTGGCAGGGGTGGTGTGCAGCCAGTTCATCTTCATTGGACTCTGGATGTGGGCGACGTGCAAATCTGACCCAGCCCCTGGCGAGGCCGTACCCCACGGGGGACAGCCGAGGCCATAACAGGGCAGGGCCGGGGCAGCCGGCCTGGGGTGGGCCCTGCAGGGTCTCTGGAGACAGGGAGGGAGGCCAACTCTTCCCTAAGCCTGGAGGCCCTAGGCTCTCCCTTCTGTTAGCACACAAGCAACGAGTGTGAAATAAACCCATCACCCAAGTGCAACAGTGCTCCCCAAGGGTCTGCTTTCATTGAACTCAGCTGTTCACTCTTGTCCTGTGTAGGTGGGGCCCCCACTCCATGCCCGAACTTCTCACCAGTGGCCACCAGTCACCCAGCCCCGCCCCCACACCTGCTCCTTCTGTGACTCCAGCTGCTTGGCCTGGGCCAGGATTCAGGGCCCCGAGGGTCAGGCCGCCTGGGGTGGTCAAGACTCCTGGGTGCTGAGGTGTGCTGGACCCCAGGACTGGGGAGAGCGCCTCCTGGGGGCAGAACACCCAGCCCTTGGGATGTGGGCAATGGGGCATGTGTTGTCGGCACGGACCCTGAGCAGGTGAATCTTGCTGGGTTTTGCCCTCTGCGGCCATGTGGCCTGTGCCCTTCCACCCACATGCCTGAGCTGAAGGGGGCGCGTTCCCCCCAGCTGTGAACTGGGCTGGGGGGGGTGGTTCTGCCTCCTGCTCGTGCTCACAGGCAGCTTGGGCGAGGCCTTTGTCTTCCCCTCTGTCCCTTTCTGTCCTGAAGCCCTCACGTGGCCCCTGTAGGCTGTGGTGGGGACACAAACTCCAGGTGCACAGGAAGCCCGGTGCAGGGCAGTGCTGGTTTGGTGGGGAATGGGGGTGGGAGGGAGAGGGCACGGGGAGAGGCACACACCAGGACTCACGGGCCCAGGGCCAGGCTCCGGCCCAGGCAGTGAAGAAACATCCCTGTCCCAAAGGACACCACACTCCCCTGGCCCAGAGGCAGGTTAACACGGTTTATGTGTCCACACCGCGCTGCCTGGTGCCGCCAGGCGGGCAGCGCACAGCTCAGGCGGAGGTGTCAAAGAGGCGGTCGATCATGTCGCCCACCTGCTCCACGTGGTACTTGATGTACTTCTCAGGGTTCTTGGTGAAGGGCACGCTGCCGTACCTGCAGGCACTGAGGTCAGCAGGGAGGCCTTCCTCCTCCCCCGCTCCGCCGCAGGCTAAGGCCTTCCCGTGGGGTGTCCCTGAGGCAGGGCACTGAGCCGGGGTGGGGGGGCTCACCTGTGCAGAAAGGCCCCGTAGGTCTCCTTGACGATGTGCTTCTGAGCTTGGCGGATCTTGTCGCGCTGCTCCGTGTCGGGGATGGCCCAGGCCTTCTGGATCTTGCACAATTCTTCCAGGCCATCATTGAAGCCCTGCCGCCAGCAAGGTGGGGAGAGAAGGGACCCGGAGACAAATGTTTGGGGGTGTTGCTCTAGCAGCAGCAGCAGCAGTGGAGGGGACGGGGTCTCGACTCACCTTAAACCGCTCCTTGATCACCTGCCGCTCCTTGTCCCGGAGCTGGGGGCCGAGACAGCTCTCCTCAGAGAGGCGCCTGCCCCACCCCGCCCCCAGCGCCCTCCCCCAGCCCGCTCCTGCTGCCCCGAGGGCCACAGGCATCCCCTGCTCTCACCCCACAGGGACTCCTGTCCATTTTCTCCCAGAGGCATGACAAACAGGGTGACACCTGCTAGACACCCTTCCCAGCCCAGGCCCTCAGCCCACCTTGACTCCCGGCTGGAACACAGGTAGATTCTTCTCAGTGATGTAGTCGGTCACCTTTAACCAGCTGCCAGGGAGAGAAAGCAGAGGGGCAGCTCAGGCAGCTGCTGCTTCCTGGGGCTGGTTTGCTTTGTGTTTTATTTTATTTTTTAAATATATTTTATTGATTTTTTACAGAGAGGAAGGGAGATAGAGAGCCAGAAACATCGATGAGAGAGAAACATCGATTAGCTGCCTCCTGCACACCCCCCACTGGGGATGTGCCCGCAACCCAGGCACATGCCCCTGACCGGAATCGAACCCGGGACCCCTCAGTCCGCAGGCCGACGCTCCATCCACTGAGCCAAACCGGTTTCAGCTGTGTTTTATTTTTATCTCTTCATCTACTGGGCCGTATGGGGAGGGCAGGAATCCATCTGGGTCACAACTAAGCAAAACACAACTGAGGTTTCTCCTCGGGAATAAAGTGTTCGAGATGCTCGCTTTTAAAACTTACAGGAAACAGCAGTCAATACACTGAGCGAATACTAGTACTATCACCTCCGCTGCACGCAAGTGAAGACGGAGAAGCAGGGGAGGGGGGAAGGAGGCAGAGCAGACACTGGGAAAGGAGAGGAAGACGCCTCCAGGGGAAGGACAGAGGGAGAAACACCCGCAGCAGAAGAGGCAGCTCTGCAGAGGGAGCGCAGCCAAGGCCAAGTGCTCGTTCAACCTGCTCTTCGCTTGGGCCAAACGTTGCCCACGTTGACGTCAGCCCTTCAACTACGCTTAGCTTCACCCTCGCAAGCAGGCTGTTCTCTGCCCTCTGAGGCCCCCTAGGGAGCCAGCAAGGGGGGGGGGCTCCCATCGCCACCCCCTGAATTTGACTATAACACAAGAGAGGATTGGGGTCCACAGGGCAACAGTTTCCCGTTACTGACCCCACTCCGACTGGGCCCAGTGTCCTGAGACTGAGAAGGGAGCGTGAGTGGTGGGTACAGGGGTGGGGCGAGCGGAGGGCAGCCTCGCACCTGCGCTGGTAGGTCTGGATCTGCTGCTCGATGTGCTCCCGGTAGGAGCGCTCGGCGGTCTTCTGGGTCACAGCCACCAGCTGGATCAGCTCCGACCTGGGGGGGGCGGAGGGGGCAGAGTAGAGGGGACGGGATTGGCTGTGGGCCTGGGCAGCAGCACCAGGGGGCCTGCCCTTCCCACCCCACCTTCACGAGCTCTAAGAAGGCAGCACACACGCCCCTGGTCCTGGGGCCGCGAGGAGTAAAGCCCTGCCCTCCCACTGGGCACACGGAGGGCACGCCAGCCCCGAGCGCCTACTTCTCCAGGGCCTTGAGGATGTAGTTGTAGTTGTTGTGCAGGAAGATGGCGCTCAGAGCTGGGTCCTCATACACCTTGGACTTGCTCAGCAAGTTCAGCTGCAGGTTCCCCAGGACTTTACCTGCACAGGGAACGATGTGGCCACGCCCACATGGCAGTGTGACCAAAGCGACCCCATCCCAGGCCCCACAAACCAAGTCCTACCTGTCGCTCCTGTCCCTCCCCGGCTCCAGGCGCCACAAGCCTCAGGAGCCCTTTGCCCAGCCCCCTCCGCCCCTGAACCAGAGGTTAGGTTATTCCAAGGTTGGGGCTCAGGAGCCGGGGGGTCGGGGTGAGGGGTGGGGGGAGATGGGATGGGATGGGAATAGCAGGAGAGCACAAAATGGAGGCGGAGCTAAGCAGGGATGGGGCGGGGCTGCTGCCGGCTGCAGACTCACAGATGTAGGTGCTCAGGAGGCGCCTGCTGAACTCGGAGCTGTAGCTGGTGGCTGAGGAGCTGGTCTCTGAGAGAGAGAGAGTCCTGCTATGGCCGCGGTGGCAGCCTGGACCCTCTCTGGCCTCCCCTCAGCCCCAGGGGCAGTGGAGGGCAGGTGCGGGGGGGCCTCTGCGCCTCCTTCCTCTGGCTGCTGGGACAGAGGGAGCTGGCGCAGAGCTGGTGTCCGCGGGCTCAGCTCCCGCCCGCTGCATGGAGCGCTGCCTCGGACTCTTTCTGGAGCCCAGGGCCAGCCCCTCTGTGCTCCAGGGTGGCCCAGGGTCAGCAGGGAGGCCGGCAGGACCTCCAACGCCCGCCCCCTGCTGGTGGCATCCAGGCCCACCTATCCCATCTGTCAGGACGGGAGTCAGAATAGGCTCCATGGCCTCCCCCTTCCCTACATCCCACCTCCTCTATGGTGCCCTGCTGTACAGAGGGGGCCTGCCTACACAGCGCAAGGGCCAAGGTGGGGCGCGGGTGGGCAGGCAGGAGCTGGGCTGGGCTGGAGGGTGTCCCAGTAACCTCAGAGACAGAAAGTGGCCGTGAGGAGCTGCGAGAGCGGGAAGCACCCTGAAGGGACCATGTGCCCTCTGACCCCCACTCCCCAACAGGTGCTGAGTCTGCCAGGGGCCTCTGTCCCCAGGGAACCTCACTCCCGGGGCTTCCAGAGGGAGGATGGGGCTGCAGAGCCCCGCCGCTTACCTCGGGGGTCTAAAGGAATATTGTATGTGTCCCCAAGAACTACGGAGTGAAAAGCAGTGCGACAGGGGAAGGAGGAGACAAAGACGGGAGAAAGATGCAAAGTGCAAAATCAGGTTAGAAACAGCTGTGTCCTCCCATCAAGCAGACCGCTCCCCATGACAGCCAGGACAGACAGCGGGACACACCCAAGCCAGACCCACGGGGACCAGGGAGCACGCAGGAAAGTGGAGGCCTGAGAGTCACAGGCCGAGGCTGCCCCTGGCTCTGTGCCCTCAGATGGAGGAGCAAGGGGGTCCGGGGCCCAGACATGCCGGGCTGGGTCTCAGTGCTTGCAATGGCTGGAAATGCGTGTACCCTCCTGTGCCAACCTCAGGAAGATACCAGGCTGCCCCCGAGATGCCAGCCTCCCAGTGTCCACTGAGTGAGACTCATTGGGGGGACAAGGGAGCACAGAGAAGGGGTAGGAATCTGGACGGAGGGCGGGGCAGAAGAGTGCCCTCCAGAGGGAGCCTAGGGGCAGAGGTACTGCGGGAAAGGCAGTCAAACCCACTCTCCTGGCGCTCAGCCCTGAGGGCCCGGCTCAGGGTCCTGCCACAGGCCACGTCGCCACCCCACTGCACAGGCTGCAGGCGATCTCCACCAGAGGCGGCAGTGCCGCTGGGGGCCTAACCCCACCTCTCCAGGCAAGAGGGAGAAGGGAGGCACGGGGTTGGGGGCCCCACTGGGAGGGGCCAAGTACCTTGGGAGGCCAGCATGGCACCTGCCGTCTCCTGGAAGTCCAGCAGCTGCTGCAGGAAAAGGATGGCCTGTGTGGGGAAGGGGCCAGGAAGGTCAAGGCAGGACCAGAGGCCAGGTCCCTCCCACCGCAACACCCTGTGTGACAGGGCACATCCAGGGCCCGGGGCTGCCAACTCTGATCCCACTTTGGGTTCGGGCTTCGAGGGCAGGCCAGGTCTGCTGAGGGTGCTCAGCACTTCGAGGTTCTGGTGAGGTCCCCCCTCACCCCCCGGGTCCCGGGCAGCACGTACGTTGCTGGTGAGCTCGTGCACGGTGCCGTCCTTGGGCATGTTGTACTCCTTGTCCGGGTCATTCTGTGGAAACAGCCACTCCCTGGAAGAGCTCCCAAGGAGGCCCCACCTCACCCAAGCCCCTCAGCCTGCTCCTGGCGCCACCTCTTGGCAGACAGGTGTCAGGACACCCTTAAGGCACAAAGGGGAGCAAGATGCACATGCCAGAAAACGAGGGCGGGGGGCAGGTGCCTCAGGCCTGGAGCCCCCAGAGAGGGAGGCGATGGGTGCTGACAGGAGTCATCCCTCCAGCAGACCTGACCTGCTCAGAGCCTACCCCCTGCCCACAGCCAGGCGGCCCTGCAGTGGGAGGAGGGAGATCACCTTGATGTTGTCAGCGAAGTCCTCCAGCGCTTTGGCACCAACGGTCTCCATGGAGGTGATGAGGCCGGGCAGCTTGTTCTTGGTGCTGGCGGCTGTTCCCTGAGCGGCACAGAGCGGCACAGCTGCCACTGTCCCCGCCGCCAGTGGGCGTGCAGCCCCTTCCTTCCAGCTGCTCCCCTGCCCTCCCCCAGGGGATGCCTCTGTCACCCTCCTCCCCACGCCCCCAAGCGCCTCGCCGACCACGTACCTGGAGCACCTGGTCGAACTCGGGCTTGGTCTGCTTGAGGTGCCGCAGGATGGGGAAGATGGCGAGCACTGCCGAGAAGTCGTGTCTGACGATGGCCTTCCGGGCAGCGGACACGATGTTCTCCCCCTCGAGCATCAGCCCCTCCAGTGCATCCTGAGGGTGAGGACACGGCTTAGGGGGCCAGAGGCAAGAGCTGGCTCCCGGGGACGGTGAGGGGAGGCAGCGCGCTTCTGATGGGAGGTGCCGACCAGACACACCGCCAGGACAGAGGCCCGGGACGCGGGGGAGGAGGTGGCTGTATTGGAGGCTACAGACACAGTCAAGGCCCGCGCTGCGGTGACAGCTCTGTAAGGCCCCGGCCCGGGCGGGGCAGCACCTGGATCAGGGAGTCGAAGGTCTTCTTCTGATGGTGCTCGGGGATGACCTCCACCAGCAGCTGGTACTCGCTCTGCGCCAGCTTGACGAAGGCGCTGACGCAGTGAATGTAGGCGTCGGTCTCCACGTCCAGCATGTCGTCTCTCCCTGCGGGACAGCGGTGCGCTGAGCTGCTGGGCTGGGGACAGCCCTCTCCCTGCTGCGGGGTGAGGGTCTCCCCAGCTCCCGGCCGGGGTCCAGACTGGCCGCAGACGGGGAGGAGGGAGACTGTGCGGGCAGAGAGCTGAGGACGCCAGCAGGCCCCACGGGCTGAAGGGGAAATGGCTGGGTCCAGCCTTTGTCCTGGCTTCACTCTGAGCTCTGCCACGGGCGGGATTTATGGCCGAGTGCCAGGTGCAGGTGTGGGCGACAGATAAAGGGGAAGAGGAGGATCCCTAAATGGACTCCCTGGAGAGGGAATGGCCTTAGGATTGAGGAGTCCGGATTGTAAGGAAAGAGGGCAGCTGGGGGGCAGGCGGCAGTGTCCACCAAGGAGACAGCCATCTCAGAAAACGCTGGGCCTACGAGGGCGGTGGCCAGCCCAGCCAGGCTTCCGGAACCTGTAGGAAGGCCGTGGGCACCGGCCTATGAGGCCAGCTGGCCCAGGGTTAAAGTTTAAGAAGCAGCGTGAGCCCCAGAGAGGGAGGGCTCCTTGGCTATCAGCTGCCCCAGGAGGAGACTGGATCCCACAGCTGGAGGCTGGGGCAGGGGACCTAGTGCTATGCGCCCAGGGACGGGCTCCTGGGAGTCGGAGCTGTTGGTGAAGCCGGTGTCGGGCTCCCTGCCCTCCAGGGAGCCACCTCCCCTCTCTGCCCGCCGTCCAAGGAGCAGACACTTCTCCCCTTGGCCCGGCCCTGAGAGCCGGGTGCACACTCCCAGCTGTAGGGCGGCAAGGAGACCTCGTGCCCGAAGGAGAGCGAGATGGAAGGAGAGAACAGGTCTGGCCCATCCTCTGGGCCCTCTGGTGGCTGCTGGGAAGGCAGCGGCGGCTGCCCGCGGCTGGGCTGGGCTGGGCTGGGCTGGGCTGCGTACTCACCGGCCAGCGGCCCGTGCTTGTCGTTCAGGGCCTCGGACAGGTGCTTAACTCGGGAATCATGCTGGTGACCTAGCGAGACGTCAGCCGCACAAACACAAGCAGCGTTTATCCAGGGGCCGGGCGGGCTGGCCTCGGGGACCGGGAAGAAGCCCTCGATCTCCGGAGGGTGTGAGGGGGTGTCGGGGAGGGGCATTGGAGGGGCTCTGAGCCCCTCCTCTGCCGCGGGCCACCCTGGGAACAGCCGTTTCAAGCCTGACTTGCAGCGCCCGGACCAAGCCCGGAGGCCAAGAGAAAGCCGCGAGGCCAAGGAGAGTTGAGGGGCTTCTGGCAGCCGTGGAGCGTGGAGCGGCTGGTGCCTGGCCCCAGGGGGTGATCTTGCCGGACATGGGGAGACCCAGTTAGAGAACTGTCACTGCGAGGGACTGGGGACAGCCTCCTTCCCGTCCCAGCTCATTCTTAGGGAGGAGGGCCAGGTCCTCCAGGGGCGGGGGGCTATTCTCCTGACATGAGAAAGGGATGTGCCGACCTGCTGCCTGTCCCCTTGCTGCACCCCCTCCCCCTTATAAAGTTGGGGTGACCAGGAGGCCTAGGCCAGCTTGGTCCTGCCACCGCTGATCTCAGCATGAAAGGGCTGCCCACGGCCAAGAACTCTCTCTGAGTTCAAACAGGAGACAAGGACAGAGACAGGGAGGGGAGGGGAGGGGAGCCCCAGGGAGGGCAGAGCTGCCATCAGCCAGACAGGACCAGGCCAAGGCCACGAAACCTGTCCCTGCGCCAGCTGGAGCGAGTGGCACAGGGACGGGCAGCCCCACCCGTCCCCTCTCAGGGTTCCCCCGAGGCCCTCCTGGGGCTGGAGGCTCTGCCCTGCCGCGGGAGTGAACACACGGAGGAGGAGGGAACGGGAGAGGAACACGGGGTGATTACCTTCCAGAGGAATGAGGTTAGAGCCCCCCTTTTTCCCATCTAGACCATGCTGGGAATACTGTTTCAGAAGGTTCTGAGCCTTACGGATCGTCCCTGTCACCAGAGCCACACAGAGAGGAGATAAGAAGACCTGGGAAACGAGTGAGAGAAAACAGCAGCGGCCCTCCACGCCCAGCCCACGCCCAGCCCCCCGACAGTGAGCACGCCCAGTCCCGCCTCCCCCAGCAGACCTTCCCCAGGCCGCCGGGGACCCAGCAGATGGAGACGAAGGGGTGGACACATTCCCTGGGGCCTCCCGTCCTGCTGCTGACCCTCTGTTCTGGCCTGAGCTCATTGGAGGGTACGTGGAGGGTGAAGGAGACGAGGTGGGCAAAGGTCCACCAAGAGGAGCCCCAGGAAAAAGGACCCCAAAACCCAAACAGGCTTGGGCTCTCACACCCGGAGTTACGACCCAGGACAGAGCGCGGGCACCTGGAGGCTGGGAGGCCTGTGCCCCGCGGAGCACCAGGCACAGCTCTCTGGGCATGCTGTGTTGGCAAGTAGCCAAACAGCAGTCAGAAAGCAGCATGGGAGCTGGCGAGACGGGAAGGAGCCCCCCGGGAGGGCAGTGCCAGGACGAAGGCTGGAGGCCCGGGGGCAGCCTGGCCCACACACTGAGGTTACCCAAACCACCAAAGCGACTGCAAAAGCTCAAGGGCAAGAGGGGCCAACAGAGCCTCACAGAGAGCCGGGAGGCCAGTAGGAAAGGGCGCATGCTCTTGGCACGGGGGAAAACAACAGTTAGTGTCACAGTCAAAACAACGAAAACAAACTGCAGCATCTGCAGCCGCGGGTCAGCCACTCGGACGAGACACCGCAGGGCGGAACATGTGGGAAATAAACCAGCACCTCACACAGCGAGCGCGCCGCCTGCACCGCAGCCCATCCCCTGCCTCGAGCCCGAGGAGCGCGGGTGAAAAGAGGCAGGGCCTGGGGCCCATTTCGTCCTGTTCGCACCACGCCACCATTAGCCGCTAAAAACACGCGGCCCCGGCTCCACATCTGCCTCCCTGTGCAGTGAGCGGCGCTAAGGAGCACCTCAGGTTCCACCCGCAGCCGAGCGGGAGCCCAGCCCGCACAGGGCATGGGTGTGAAGCGGGGCTGCTTGTTGGCAGCTGCCAAGACCACCAGGCACCCAATTGCCATGGACGTGCTAAGGCTGGCGCTTCATGGCCACCTACCTTCTCCCTGCTCCTCTCCCCCCGCCAGAACTGATGAACCAGGCCCGGTTCCCTAGTCCCGACACCAGTCCTGAGCCCACCAGCTCCGGACAACCCTCGAACCCCCACAGGAGCATGGGGGGGTTTCCCTCTTGGGTCTACAAGCCAAGGAGGAATTCAGTCCACGGTGAGCCCTCCTCCCGGAAGGCCCTGTCCCTGCATGGCCGGCCAGCACCCCACGGCAGAGCACATCGGATCCCAGGGCCTCCCGGGGCCGTCAGAGAAGAGACGGACGGGAACTGAGCACAGACCGCTGGCCCAGGCGGCCTCCCAGACACAGCCCCTGCTCAGCACACAGGCAGAGAGGATGGGGCGGCCCGCCTGCAGCAGCCACAGCCTCGGCCAAGCCCGCCGGCCCAGTGGAGTCACGGATTTTCTGGGGGAGCGGCCGGGGCACCCACACTGGAGGGGAGAAGGCAGTGCCTTCCTTCCAGGCCCCCCACCTTCCCTAACACTCTCCTGGCTGTGCCCCCAGGGCAGCGTCTGCTCTGCCACGTTTCCAAACCCTAAGGAGTGCGAACAGACACCCTCAGAGGGGCAGGGCAGGCAGGGCCGGACAGAGGAAGGGGGAAGCTCTACACCCAGCCTCTCCCCGGGGCGGGTCCCGCAGGCCACCCCTGGGGCAGTGCCTGCAGCTTGAACCCAGGCCTGCCAAGCTGTGGGTGCAGACAGAACACTGTTTACTTGCACAGACTGTGGGGACATGATGCAGGGACAAGGATGTGAGCTGTTCATCCAGAACACCACAACCCACGGCCCAGGCCTCTCGCCCTCAGCACCCTCCCCCTACGGCCCGCCACAAGGCACGAACTCGCAGGGCGGCCTGAAAGCCGGGCGCACTTCCTCCGTGAGGGCTGACTGTGAAAGTTTAAAGTCTCCCACCCACTTCTCAGCCATGTGCCACTTCCAGCCGCCCTGGCTCGCTGGGAGGTGAAGGCTGCCCTGTCCCATCCCCCGAGCTTGGCTGTCGCAGCCTGGCCTCCTGGCGGGACAACAGGAGAGGAGCAGGGGCCCAGCAAGGGGCTCTTCCCTGGCTGCACCCCATTCCCCTGCCTCTCCACATCTCTGACGCCCCTCCCTCCTCCAAAGACATGGATGCAGCCCCCAGACCCTGCTGAGCAGCAGGAAGAGACCCTCGGTGGGGCCTTGCTGGGGGGCAGACACTGGCTTTCTGTCCTGTCTGCCTGCAGCTGGAGGGGTGGACGCTGCGAACCCCAGGGTGGCCAAAAGCAACGCAGGTCCCACCGCCTTCTGGCTGGAGCTTAAAGGGCCGGGGCGGGGACTCACCTGGACGCTTGATGGGCTTCTTGGTGGGCGTATCTTTCCTCTTGTTGGGGATGGCGGGGGAGTAGGGAACCCCAGAGGCAGAGCTGTTCTTCCGGAAGTGCTCCTTCAGGCCCTTGATGGAGCGGTCCAGCTGGCTGGAGCGGATCTGGTAGTAGACGTTCATGAAATCTGAGGAGAGATGAGGCGATGGGCCTGTGGCAGCCGGTCCCGGCCTTTCCCCTCTTGACCAGCTCCGCGGGGCGGCAGTGCGCCCACTATTTCTACTTGCTAACCCCTTCTAGCACCTCCTCGGGCTCACAGCCACCCACGGGGCCTTGCCCCGAATCAGGCAAAGTCTTTAAAGGGAAAGTATCCCCCAATAGAACTGATGATTTTTTTTAAGTTTTGAAGCTAAGTATTTTCAGATAAAAAATATAAAGATTAGGTAAGGAGTCAAAGGATATGAGTAATTTATAGGAGGCACAGAGACAACAAATGTCAGTGAATGAAAAAAACACTATTATCTTTGGCCATTACAAAATTATTTTATTAAATTTTATTGATTTGAGAGAGAGAGAGAAGCATAGATGTGAGACAGAAACATCGATTAGTTGCCTCCTGTACGCACCCTGACTGGGGATTGAACCCACTACCTAGGTATGTGCTCTGACTGGGAATCGACCCCACAACCTTTTGGTGTACGAGACGACACTCCAACCCACTGAGCCACCCGGCCATGGCTAAACTTTTTATTAAAAAAAAAAATTGCCCTCTCCCTGGGCCTGCCCTGCTGTTGGCCCTCCGGCCGGCCGGCCCCTCACCTTGGTTGTGGCCGAATTCCACCAGCCAGCGGGAGATGCGGATCACGTCCAGGAGCACACCCTCCGGCAGGTGCTCCAGGGGCACCTCCTCCTGGATCTCCAGCTCCTCCTCCCCACTGATCAGATCCAGGATGAGCACCGGGGAGACCGCCTTACTGTGCCGAGTCATCAGGCTGCGGAACTCCGACTCCAGGGACTCCTTCCCCCTCTCGAACAGCAGCTTCTGCAGGGGCGAGGGGAGGAGGGAGGAGGGCCCACTGCGGCGGCAGCATTCCGCTCGCCCGCCCCTCCCGCCTCTGCCTGCACTTCCTTGACCCAGAGAAGAAAGGCAGGAGGCCTTCCTTGGTCCTTCCTTCACTCAGGTTCTCGCTAACTGGATGCTCACAGGTGAAACCCAGGGCTGTGTAAGCAGATGCTGCATGAACACTGGCTGATCACCTTCTCACTGCACTACCAATCTGTCTTCTTGTTAGAAAAGGGTTTGCAAGGAAAGAACTAGATCAGTGATGGTCAGCCTATGGCACGCGTGTCAGAGGTGACACGCGAACTCATTCTTTTGGTTGATTTTTCTTTGTTAAATGGCATTTAAATATAAAAAAAATATCAAAAATATAAATCTTTGTTTTACTATGGTTCCAAATATCAAAAAATTTCTATATGTGACACGGCACCAGAGTTAAGTTAGGGTTTTTCAAAATGCTGACACGCCGAGCTCAAAAGGTTCGCCATCACTGAACTAGATCAATTGAACTGTCACATTAAAAGCTTTTGTGCTGTAAATGATACCATCAAAAAAAGTAAAAAAAACCCCACAGAATGAAATTATTTGCAAATCATATATCTGATAAAGGACAGGTATCCAGAACATATAAGAGAACTGGAAACATGTTCATACAAAATCATGAAATACATCAGACAGAGAAAGACAAATATCGTATGGTTTCACTTATATGTGGGATCTAAAAAACAAAATAAACAAATGAAACAGAAATAAATGCTCAGGTGCAGAGAACAAATTGGTGGTCGCCAGATGGGAGGGGAGTTGGAGGGATAGATGGAAAAGGTTAGGGATTACCAAGTACAAATTGGTGTTTATTCAAACAGTCCCAGGGATGATGTAAAATACAGCATTGGGAATACAATCAATAATATTGTAATAACTATGTATGGTGTCAAGTAGGTACTAGACTTATAAGGGTGATCACTTCATAAGGAACATAAATGTCTAATCACTACACTTAAAACTAATAAGATTGCATGTCAACTGTAATATAAAAATAAATTTTTTTTTAATATATTTTATTGATTTTTACAGAGAGGAAGGGAGAGAGACAGAGAGTCAGAAACATCGACGAGAGAGAATCATCGATCAGCTGCCTCCTGCACATCTCCCACTGGGGACATGCCCGCAACCCAGGCACATGCCCCCGACCGGAATCGAACCTGGGACTCTTCAGTCCGCAGGCCGACGCTCCATCCACTGAGCCAAACCGGTTTCGGCATAAAAATAAATTTTTAATAAAAATAGTGAGATTGTTAAGTTTTATATTATGTACTTTTTACCACAATAAGAAAACCCCAAATGCATTTCTAAAAATCAAAAGTTAAATTTATATTGTTGCCCTGACTGGTTTGGCTCAGTGGATAGAGCGTTGGCCTGCGGACTCAAGGGTCCCAGGTTCGATTCCAGTCAAAGGCATGTACCTTGGTTGCCAGCACATCCCCAGTAGGGGGCGTGCAGGGGGCAGCTGATCGATGTTTCTCTCTCATAGATGTTTCTAGCTCTCTATCCCTCTCCCTTCCTCTCTGTAAAAAAATCAATAAAATATATTTAAGAAAACTTTATATTGTAAAGTAATTTATAAACTTGTTAAGTTATGCAAATGCAATAAAAATGTATATCTGGTGCTCGCTTCGGCAGCTTACAGAGAAGATTAGCATGCCCCCTGCACAAGGATGACACACAAATTCATGAAGCGTTCCATATTTGAAAAAAAAAAAAAAAGTATATCTGTAGCCCTAGGCGGTTGGCTCAGTGGACAGAGCATCGACCTGCAAACTGAAAGGTCCCGGGTTTGATTCCGGTCAAGGGCACATGCCCGGGTTGCGGGCTGGATCCCCAGTGTGGGGCATGCAGGAGGCAACTGATCAATGATTCTCTCTCATCATTGATGTTTCTATCTCCCTCTTCCTCTCCCTTCCTCTGAAATCAATAAAAAAAAAATTTTTTTAAATGTGTATATCTGTCATTCCTGAGGTAGAGTACTTCAGGACCACAGTATGTGTACTATATTAGTGCTACGTTTATTCCACTACATTCTCCTTTAAGCTGGTTCAGTCTCTCAGGAGACCAGGGCAGGGACTAACGTCCCCACACCTCCCCCCTTACCCTGCTGGCCCCTTACCACTTTGTTGAGCTCTGGGCTGTCTGGGCTGTTGTCCTGGAAATACTCCACAGCCTTCTGAATCTTGGCCATGCTTCCCAGGTACTCGTCCAGCCTCCCTGTGGGGCTGGGAAGGAACAAAGCTGTGTCAGCCTGGCTGGATGGAAGAGGAAGAGCGGGACCCATGTGGAGGGGGAAGAAGAGAATGAATACCGGGGACTCCAGGCTCAAATATATTCTACCCCCTCCCCCTTCTACGCCGCTGGTCCAGGAGGCATCAAGAATGTCAACAATAAATTAACAAAAAATAAAAGAAAAAGTCAATTACAAAAAAAAAACACAATGAAAGGAGTGTGACCCCTGGCCTAGCTCACCCCTCCCTGATGACCTTCTCGGTGTCGCTGGCCACATGGTAGTAGCTGATGACGTGGTCCAGGCAGGACAGAGTCTTCTCCACGTTCTCCTGCAGCCGCTGCAGGTTCTCTGTCTGCTTGTGCACGGGGATGATGGAGTTCTCCAGCTTCATCAGGCGGCTCTCAAAGGACGAGAGGATGGACACCTGGGGGGGACACGTGCTCTCAGGCTCCCAGGCACCGCCAGGTCTCCGGCCTTCGCTGCTTTTTCTCTGGTTTTCCAGACAATAAGCTCCACGAGGGAAGGGCCGGGGGTGCAGCTGTTCACCCGTGTCCTCAGCACATAGGAGGTGGTCCAAACACATTGGATGAAATTTGATTCGAAGGCAAGGCAAGCAACAAAGGACCTTCCCCCAAGATAAGCACCCCGGATGGTTTCCCTTCCACCCTTTGAAGCCAAATCTCAATGTCTGGTCTTTCTGAGGCTTTCCTAGACCGAACAGGGCGTAGCTGCATATGGAGTCGCCTCAAATGCATTGTTGGCACTTGCAAAAGCCTCTCTCGCTAAGGGCGAATCTCACCACATAAGGACTAGGACAGTGGTCGGCCAACTCATTAGTCAACAGAGCCAAATATCAACAGTACAACGATCGAAATTTCTTTTGAGAGCCAAATTTTTTAAACTTAAACTATATAGGTAGGTACATTGTTATTAACTTAATTAGGGTACTCCTAAGGCTTAGGAAGAGCCACACTCAAGGGGCCAAAGAGCCGCATGTGGCTCTCGAGCCGCAGTTTGCCGACCACGGTACTAGGACTCCATGACTGTGTCACTCCATGCATACACCAAGCTTGTATCTCCCCCACCTGTGCTTTACAGTCCCCTCCGGAAATAAACCTCATATTTGTGGAGCACCTACTGTATACCAGGTGCTGAGCAAGACGGGCCCCATGGATTGGCTCCTATGACCTTCACAGCCACAGGGGGAGGGTGGCACTGTCCCTGTCTTATCATATGAGTTAACTGAGGCTCAGAGTTACCTGCCAGGAGCCACACACACACAAGTGGAGGGTGAGGACTAGATCCCGGATCTGTCCGATTTCAGAGCTCATCCTACCCCAGAGCCCTGGGGGAGGGAGATGGCTGAGTCTGGTCTGCCCTCAGCAGCCTCAGAAGTGCCACCCCTGCCCTCCGCCCGTCCCGGCCCACCCAAGTCAGCCTCACTGCGTTTGCAGGAGACGAAGGGGAGGGCGTGGAGAGACCAAGCCCAGGCCAGCGGGGCAGCAGCATCCTCAGGGAGCAGGCGGACCAGGGGAAGGCGACGAGGTAAGGGACACGCCCGCCACACTGCTGCCGGAGAAACCCACCCAATACCATTCCTACCCAGGCCAGAACCCCAGGCCTTACGGACCGGACCGGACCGGACCCGCCAGGTCGCCGAGCTCTCCTGCGGGGTCTGAGGCCTGCAGCCCCGCCCAGCTGAGGGTTACTCACCATGTTCCTGGTGAGCTGGTCGCTCTTCTCCAGGCTGTCTCGGATGAAGGACAGCGTCTCCTCCTCCTGGGGGCGCGGAGGGGCGGCATCACCAGAAGCCCGCGGCTGCCGATCACCGCGGCCCGGCTCCTGGCAGCGAGTGCCCCCTCTGCCCCCCGCCTCCTTCCAGAGGGGATGCCGGGCCTCGGCGCCTTCCCTCCCCGCCGCCCCCGCCGCCCCCGCCCGGGTCTCACCTGCTTCAGCTTGTCCTCGATCTCCCGCCGCCGGGCGGACGCCTCCTGCGGGGGAATCATCCCTGCGGCCCCGCGCCGCTTCCCCTTCCAGTGTTTTGTGTCGGCGCGCGTCCCTCCTCGGCCTCCGTCCCCGTTACACCCACTTCCGCTCCTGGCCCCGCCCCGAGCGCACTGGTGGGGCCATGTTGGGAGTGGCAGGCGGAAGTGCTCGCGGGGCCCGGAAACGGGCTGGGGACGCAGCCATCTTGGGTGTGGCCAAGGGTGGCCCCGCGGAAAAGCCGGGAGAGCCGCGCCCAGCACTTCGCTTCCCTGAACCACACCGCGCCCACAGTGGACGCTCAGAAAAGTATATCGCTAGCATCGTGCCTTGTATGTCTAGGGAAGGCACTCCTTTATGGTTGTGAACAAATACTGTCTTTTTTTGCCCCAAATCTTTATTGTTGAAAGTATAACTTATGTCCCCCTTTTCCCTCAATTGACCCCTTTTAGCCCGCCCCCGCCCCTATGGTCTGTGTCTATGGGTTATGCACACATGCATACAATGAACAGATACTTTCAACTTTATACAATCTCATTGCATTTTTTAAAATATTTTTTTTATAAATATAGTTTATTGATTTTTTACAGAGGAAGGGAAAGGAATAGAGATTTAGAAATATCGATGAGAAAGAAGCATTGATCAGCTGCCTCCTGCACACCCCCTACTGGGGATGTGCCTGCAACCAAGGTATATGCCCTAGACCGGAATCGAACCTGGGACCCTTCAATCTGCAGGCCGAGGCTCTATCCACTGAGCCAAACAGGCTAGGGCAATCGCATTGCATTTTTAAAAAAATATATTTTATTGATTTTTTACAGAGAGGAAGGGAGAGGGATAGAGAGTTAGAAACATCGATGAGAGAGAAACATCAGCTGCCTCCTGCACACCCCAAACTGGGGATGTGCCGCAACCAAGGTACATGCCCTTGACCGGAATCGAACCTGGGACTCTTCAGTCCGCAGGCCGGCGCTCTAGCCACTGAGCCAAACTGGTCAGGGCTGTGTGTGCTTTTCTGCATTTTCTCAAATTTCCTGCACCAAGTGTAACTTGGGAGCCAGCTGCGATGTAGTGAGAGCCCTGTTTGCCATCGCTGTCACCCGCCCCCGCTCCCCATCTTGGCTAATCCTCGCGGTAAGCTTCCGGGTGGGGCACGGCGCTGTGTCCCTGCAGCAGCGCAGGAAGCGGGCTCAGCGGGTCGCTGCCTCAGTCAACGCAGCTGCGGGGACGTCTGATCCCGCCCTCCTCCCAGGCTCAGGACGTGGGTTTGTTGCTCTGCAAAGCTGCCAATCTGATGGTCAGGAAAAGCCACTGTGGCCCTAACCGGTTTGGCTCAGTGGATGGAGCGTCGGCCTGCGGACTGAAGGGTCCCAGGTCTGATTCCGGTCAGGGGCGTGTACCTTGGTTGCGGGCACATCCCCCGTCGGGAGTGTGCAGGAGGCAGCTGATCAATGTTTCTAGCTCTCTATCCCTCTCCCTTCCTCTCTGTAAAAAATCAATAAAATATATTTTTAAAAAAAGAAAAGCCACTGTGGAAAGCAGGTTATTTTTATGACCACCATAGCTAAAAAAAAGTGGTCAGAATGAAAAGATGAATTTAACTTCATGCTCAGCCCAGTGTGAGGCATGCAGGGGAGACACTGATGCAGTAATTCCCCGCGAGACTCGGCACAAGCTGCTTCCGCAGAGGAGCAAGCGGTGGTTCAAGTGCAGGTGCGGAGCCTCGGTTTTCCTTCGCCACCTTGTGCAGGGCACCAGGCTGCCCACCATAGCCGAGCCCCCCGCTGCGGCTGAGGCTCCCTTTCCAGGGGAAGGAGGGCGGGGGAGGAACAGTGTTCCTTCTTTGGTAACTTCCTAATTCCAGGCTTTGTGCTTTCCCCCATGTACCAAGGGTAACATCCCTCCAGATTCATGTTTCCTGGCGGCCCCGGCCATACTGGAAATGTGCATGCTGCGACTCAACAGCCACAGCAGGGTCTGCTCCCTGGGATTACAGCCATTTAAAGATGAGAGAGGGCCCTAACCGGTTTGGCTCAGTGGATAGAGTGTCGGCCTACGGACTGAAGGGTCCTGGGTTCGATTCTGGTCAAGGGCATATACCTTGGTTGCAGGCACATCCCCAGTAGGGGGTGTGCAGCAGGCACCCGATCAATGTTTCTCTCTCATCGATGTTTCTAACTCTCTATCCCTCTCCCTTCCTCTCTGTAAAAAGTCAATAAAATATATTTTTAAAAATTAAAGATGAGAGATGCATTGCAAAAAAGGAAAACATTTTCAGAGTACAAGGGATGCTCAAGTTTCTCTAGTTTCTAGACTGTGAGTTTAAGTCCCCTCTCTATTGCTAACACTTCTAAGAAAACAAATTTTCCCTTTTTTTGGTAATGATAAAAAAAAAAAATAGATTCTTTTTTGTTTCATTTAGAAACCACCAGCCATCAACAATGCCATCTGACAGAGTGGTCAGAGGAGTGGTTTTCTCTTCTTCTTCTTGAAAACCTTTTATATATAAAATGAAAGAAGGCCCAGGAGCGGACAGCTGTTGCGCGCTTTCTTACGGAAGAGAGAGCAAAGGAAGCTTCTAGTGTGCTTCCAGCCGCGTGTGGGGTCAAGTTTTTGAAAATTTTCTCAATTTTCAGAGAGAAAGGGAGAGGGAGAGGGAGAAACATCGAAGATGAAAAAAACACACAAAACAGCGATGAGAATCATTGAGCGGCTGCCTCCTGCACGCCCCCTACTGGGGATCCAGCACACAACCCAGGCATGTGCCCTGACCTGGAACTGAACCGTGACCTCCTGGTTCAGAGGTCAATGCTCAACCACTGGGCCGCACTGGCCAGGCTACATATTGATTTCAGAGCAAGGGAGAGAGAGAGAGAGAGACATTATGAGAGAGAAACATTGATCGGCTGCCTCCCACACGTGTAACTTGGGCATGTGCCTTGACCAGAAATCGAACCCGCCACCTTTATAGTGCACGGTCCAACCAAACGAGCAACACCGGCCAAAGCTACAATTTGGCTTTAAAACTATGTTTTAAAATTCAATGTAATTCTACCCAAACTGCGAAGAAGGTACATATGCCCTCCTCTGCCTTGACCCCCAGGCGGTTACCCTGTCTCAGAAGGAACCACAGTTATAACTTTCTGGATGGAGTTATACAAACCCAGGCATATTATACACAGAATAACCTTCTCTCTCTCTCTCTCTCTCTCTCTCTCTCTCTCTCTCTCTCTCTCTCTCTCTCTCTCTCCTTCCCTCCTTCCTTCTCTCCCTTCCACTCTCTCTAAAAACAGCAATGGAAAAATATCCTAGGGTGAGGATTAACAACAACAAAATATACCCTTTCCTGGAGCCTGCATGTTCACTTCAGAGTACACCTTTTTTTTCTCCCCCTCCAGGTGAGCTTTAAAAGCATTTTCCCAACTGCAAATTGAATCCCCCTGAGTAAACTGGCTTGAACTCAGGTCCTCAAAGAGGCTGGGGGTGTCCCCAGGGGACATGCCCCCTTGAGGCATGGAGGCCAAGTGTGACCCGGGAAAGGGAGGGCTGGCAGGCTGGACCAGGGCCTCCTGGCGGAGCTTGTGAAGTGGCCCACAGCCCAGAGGGAGGGCGCACAGGCCGGGGCTGGACCTCGCTGAGGGCAGATCAAAGGCGGGCGAGATGCAAAGGCCGAGTGACAACAGTGAGAGGAAAGCTAGGCTGCGGGGGCAGGCGGTGTCCGGAGGGTGACAGGAAGGCCTGGGCTGCCCCGCACCTGCGGAGGGTGAGCCACACATCTGTGATGAGCAAGTAAACAAACAACTAAGTGATGGCTAAACCCAGGAGGCCAAGGGAGGAGCAGGGGCAAGGAGGGAGGACCGCGGGGATGAGACCACCTGGGGGGGAGGCGGGAGCGGGTGTTCCCAGAGTGGGGAGTCGAGAGGAAGGAGGTTCATGCGCCTTTGGAGGCAGCTGTGAGCTTCCGGGGCCTGAGCATCACCGCAACATGCTCGCAGGGAGCAGGCACACCTCGCAGAGCAGCGGGGAGAGTCGCTGTTCCCTCTGTGCACCCCAGTCCCCCCCACCTGTCACCGTGGGCAGGGCAGGCCCCGGGAGCAGGTGGGAGTATGTCCCACGTGGCGGCTGACTCCTGCCCTCCCCGCCTGCTCTCCCTTGGGGCATCTTCAGGCTCCAGGACGCCCCTGCTGCTTTCCAGAAGCCTCTGGGAGGGTTTTGAGGACGCGGCTGTGCCGCAGGGGGGCGCGCTCCCCCGCTAACCTAGGAGCTGAACCCCAGTCCGGGCGGGGAGGGCCTGAGGCGGCCACGAGGGGGCGCCCGACACCGCCTGTGCGCGTCCGCCGCGCCCCGCGAGCTGGCTGTCCGGGGAGGGGTGCAGGGAAGAGGAGCGGACGGAGGGCAGGTGGATAAGGGGCCAGCGGGTCTGGAGCGGAGACGGACGTGGAGGCGGGGGGAAGCCGATAAGCGAGAAAACTCGGGGCGCGAGGAGGCATGTGGCTGGCCAGCGCCCCGGCCTCTCTTTCCGCTGCCCCACGGCCCCACCGGCCGGGAGCGGGGTCCGAGCCAGCGGCCGAGGCAGTGTCAGCCGGTGCCACCCGCGGCATGTCGGCCCCGCGGCTCCAGGCAACGGAAGACGCCGGCGCCCGACAGCCTCCGCGGAGGTTCGGGGCCATCTGCCCCCGCCGCCCCGCGCGCCCCCGCCGCCCCCCGCCGCCCCGCGCGCCCCCGCCGCCCCGCGCCGCCCCCGCCGCCCCCGCCGCCGCCTGCCCCGCGCACTCCGCACTGTGCGCGCCCCCGCCGCCCCGCGCGCCCCCGCCGCCCCGCGCGCCCCCGCCGCCGCCTGCCCCGCGCACTCCGCACTGTGCGCGCCCCCGCCGCCCCGCGCCCTCGCGCCCCGTGGGCCCCCCGGGCGGACTCCCACCACCCCGCGCCCCCCACCCTGGGGCGCATTCTCACAGCCCGCAGCCCCAGCCGGGAAGGTCTGGCTCCCCCGGGGCCGTTCGCCTTGAACGTGACTCAGCGCTTTCTCAGTGCCAGGCTCAGCGCCCCCCCTCGCGTCCCCACCCCGTCACCCTCACCCTCCCGCCCTGTGGGTTCTACCCCCACGGGAGGCCCGGGCCCTCCTGG